CTTCTACTTAGTGACTTACAGTAACTAGAAAGCAAATACATTTATCAACTTGATAAATGAGCCTATCCTGAAGCTATTCCATGTGCATGAGATTGCTTATTGTTCTAGCTAATGGGTCCATCATTCTGAAAATAATCTACTGTCTCCAACATTTCCCCTATGGTTAAGTTGGCATTTGCAAGCATGTAATAGGGAGCAGTCACAGAAGCCTAATGTGATCTGCCAATTTAAAAATACCATCAAAAAGCAGTGATTAGTCACTGCCCAGGCAGCATGAGTAAGGAAAGGTCCACAAAGTTCTGTTTTGTAACTGAATTATCTCTTTTCCTGACAACATGACTAGTGATTCAGTGGCAAGACCCAAATCTTATATACACACATTTAAGGAAAAAACCAGGATCTATCCATATGTAACTTTTTAATCTAGTTCTCAGTACAACCCCAGCATCTTCATCTTTCACAGAATATACCTAAGGAGTTGGTATTGGAATGCTTCTAAATAAAGTAGCAACAATCTAGTAAAAAAATACCTCCATCCCTACTACTCTACTGCTGCATAGGTGAAATACTTGACAACTAATAACAGATGTATTGTAGTCTGTAGAAAATGAATACAGCTAATTAGAAGTAATCAGCAAGGTATCTGTGTAAAAGGCTATGGTGAAAATAGACAAATCTAACTAACTTTTAAACAAAATATTCAAAAACATTCACTCAAGAGTTTTTGAACTCAAGAACAAGTAAGATGAATTATTAAGCTCTCTTTTAAAACTTCCTCAATGCCTGGAGCATAAAGCTAGCTATCCCAAGGAAAAAAAAAAAAAAAAAAGAAAAAAAAAATCCACAGGGATTCTAACAGCTCTAGTTCTGTGAGCCTGATGATCATACCAAGCAAGTTAAAATGTATCCAAAGCTAAAATAAGTAGACAACGATAGGAAGGTCTGCCTGGGAAGAAGGTGACTTCTGCAGAGGGAACCTCTTGGGAGCTCTGTGAAGGGGTCAAGAAGCTTGTCAAGAATGGTGATTCCACTGTCAAGCCTCTGGATTTCCAAACAGGTTCTGTCAAAATACCTCACTAAAGGCTTTCAAGAAAACTAAGGAGCTACAGCATAAGAGGGAGAGGTCCAAAAAGGATGAATAATTCTTAATCACTAATTGGGAGAAGTTGTTAACAATTACTTCTCAGAAAGGTGGCTGAGGTTCTTCAGCACCCTGGGAGCTTTGTTTTTGTGTATGATCTGCAAAAGCAGGCAGAGCAATGAGCTCTGACATTTTACTACCAATGCAAAATTATTCAGGGTAACAACCAGAACAGACTGCACGACTGCCCAGGATCTTCAAGTCTGAGTTACAGGTTATAAAATGCCAAGATTTAACAGGTGAACACATGGAGAACAATTTTGGCATCAGATACAGAACGACAGCCTCTGAAATCACAAGCAACATTGTGGGGCTTTAGCTGACAACTTCAAAAAGAACCCCAGCACACCACTTAGTAAGAATTCCAAGTCAAATACTGCAAACCATTCAAAAACAACTGAAAACAATTACGCCACTGTGCACATCCACAGTCTGCTCATATCTTGAGTAAGTGCAGTTCTGATTCACCTATTGCTAAGAGGAAATAGTATAACTGCAAATTGTTTAGGGCAAGAGATAAGGCATGATCAAAGATATGGACAATTTGTGGACAACTTCTGATCAAGTAGGCTCTGACTTTTCCAATCTGAAAAAGTAACCACATTGACAAAATGTGACTTAGGTCACAAAATCACAACAGGCAGGAGAGGCTAGACAGGAATCAGGAGCAAACAAAAGCAAACAGGAAGACAGACTTACAGAACTCTTTGTAAAAGGACAATTCTCAGATAAAGTTTTTAAATAATATTAGCAGAGGCTGGACAAGACAGTGGAGAAGTTACTACATTCATAAAACATGGAAAGATGAAATAGCAGCTTACATATATATATAATTTTATTATATTTTTCAGACCTGTTCTCAAAAATTTGTTTAATATCCTACCCAAGGCAAAAACTGGTAGACAAATAGTCTGAATTTTGTATTATTTATGAGTAAACTGATTAAACACAGTGATTATTTTATGTAGTTTTCCATTTGAAGTGTTGCAAAATCGTGGAATGTCAAAGGGATTTGTGAATTATATCTTAAAATGAAATCCACTTAGAAACCCTGTTATAGGGCCTTGAATATGATCATACTTGCAAGACTAAGATAGCAAATAGTCAGAATAATGAGAAGGATAAGTTGAGTTTTTTGTATGATAGGTTGCATTTAACCTGTAATAGCAGTTAGGTCCAGGCCAAAGAACTCACGATTCTATTTCCACTACCAGTAAAATATTTCATAATTCAATTGGTACACTTATTTCTGTAGCTTTTATTTTGTGGTTATGCTTTGTGGTTCAAGCTACCTCCACTGTGTTATCCTGAACTCTATGAACATAATGAAATGAGAGAGCCTGCATCACACACACACAGAAAGCCAGCTGTCACAGAAATAGAAAAAACTAAGGTAATTTATGTCTAATGTCTTGCCTCTGCTTCATAGTATTAATACTTCAGAGAAATTGAGGACTCACTACAGAACAGGTTACCCTCTAAACAGTGAACCAAAACAAAGTCAGGTTTTCTCGTGATCCGTGTAAGATCCCTCGTGTCTAATCAAAGTTGAGCTGAAGTGTGGCATTTTCTTTATTACAAGTATTATGATGTTATCTCCCTGTTATCAAGTAAGTTCCTTATTGCCATTAAATGTACAGAACCTTAATCCATGACCTCTGCTCTTCCATCAGCTTTGGCTGAAATGGTCCAACAGGCTGAAGAGCCACTTTGCACTTTGTTAGGCTCCTTCAGCACACATTCACAGATACACCTGTGCCCACAGGCAACATGGTCACAGCAACCCCTTTCTCTCAAATTAATCCAAGGTAAAATGTGTTTGTTTAGATAGTTTAATCCCATGCACTGATGCAAAAGTTAACTTGAGTATTTGCCAGGCACTTCTCCTATAAAACAGCAGAGGACAATGGAAGTAATGACCCAGGTACTGCTTAGCAGCAATGCCCTCTTGGATACATTAGGCAGGTAATGTAACATAGATTTCAATGATACAGAGACACTGGATGATTAAAATTCAGATCTCCAAATCTTTTGCAGAAAAGCTGACGTCCAATAAAATGCTATCTGCATAAAAAAAAAAATATATATGGATAAATTCCTTAATCCTGCAATACTCTGTTGTCCTTAAAATCAACATTAATGACACACTAATCACTGCAGTACAAGGATAGAGGAATTTATGCACGTGCAAATTACTACCAAGACATCAAGTTACTCTTACCTTGAACTAGATCTTGACTTGACATCTTCCTTTGCTGTCCTTTCACTACTAGCATCTTCATTGTAGTCCATTTTTTTATCACACAGTTGTTTCCTCTTCTCCCACTTCTTCTGCTGATTTGAGATACTTTCTGCTTCTCCCTGGGAGTCACTTTCTACTCCTACCTGTGAACCTGAGGAATGTGCCAGGCACTTAGAAGAGATGGGCAGTTTTTGCTCTTCACTGCCAAAGTCTCTTTCTGCTAACAAAGCAGAAGTTTCAGGTTTTAACGTTTCCTGCTCAGGGACTGAACTGTCCAAGTTATCTACATGGTCCATTTCCTTAGACTTTACTAATGTGTATGAAGCATTTACAACACCTCCTGCAGAATGTTTAGTCTTTAAACCTTCAACACCGTCCTCCCTGCTGTCTTCACAGCTGCCACAACACACACAGGAATTAATTAGACAGTTTGTGGCAGCTATACTGAGTTTATGGGATTCATCCTCCTCCTCATTTGCTAATGGATTAGCAGATCCAGGAATACAACTAATAGCTGCTTCTGGGGTTGTTACTGGGGATTCTGAGCTAGAAGGAGATTTAGGATTGAATATTACAGTAGCAGATATTTTCATTCCCCCTGTCCTGTGCGCTATCACTTCCGCTGTTTCCGCGTCATCGGCATACGCATCCCAGCCATTGAGGTATAACTGTGAGTCTGGACCTTCCAGGCAGCTGCATGAATTTGGAACTGAAATGCCAGACATCTGTTTTCCATCTTCAACATTGTTATTATTGCTTAAGACACTCTCAGCATCTTTTAAAAGCAACGTTTCCTCCGTCTGATGGCCATTCTCATAAAGCAAAGCATCTCTATATTGCAGGTTCTGTTTTGAATCATGGCAAGGGTTATTCACCCAAGCAAAAGTATCACTTACTGAATCCAACCCAGCCAGAGCTTCTCCTGCTCCATCTAGGTCATCCATAAAAAACACTCTGTCCTCTTCATCAGTTAAGTTGTCAAGATGGTGTCTTGTTGGTGAAGCTTCTGTGCTAGAACTATTTCTTAGGCTAGGTCTGTGAGCTGGAGACTGACAGATGCTTGGAGGGGAAAGCAGAGAAGACATCTCATCACCGACTCTGTGTACCATCCTGTTCAGCTGCTCCAGCTCCTGCTCATCATACTGCATGGAACAAGCCAGCTCAGCCTCTGTGTTCTCAGCTTTTGCTGAAAGTTCCTTGGGAGGCAAAGTCGCAGTTATGCCTGGCGCAATGACAGAGGGTACTTCAGGATCTGCTCTGACAGGAAAATCTACATCTTGAGAAATGCACAGGTTACGTTCCAGTGTGTGCAGTTCATCCTCGGTCAGTGTCTGAAGGAGATCCCTGAAAATAAAGAAATACACACATCACTTTTCATTTAGAATCATAAGGCATTGATGTTCCAGATTTTAAAAAAAGCTTTTACTGTTAGTGCAGAACTCCAGAACTTGAGAGCGCAGAATACTTTTGACTGTGTATTTCAGTGCATTTGGCATTCATATCCAGAGTACGTGACTACTGATGCCTGAATTTGAGATTACTCATGCAAATAGAGGGCATACAATTATATACATGCTTGCAGTGAAGCCTCAAAATAAACCAAAACACACACAAAAATGGAACTTTTCCCCTCCACATCACTTACAGTGAAAATGTCACCCACAATTAGATTTATTTCATCCTTTTACTTTTTTAATTCACATATTTGACTTTGATTAGCAAACTAATTTTCCATCCTTCAAGTTGATTCAGAAAATTATTCTGCAAAATAGTACTGCAGAAGTTTCACAGCATTACACTGTCAGATAAATGAATTCAATAAAATAGTAATATTGCTTATGCAACACTGGTATCTGGAAGCCAGATCACTGAAATGGGGATTGGAAGTTGGCTCTTTCCTGCCTCAAACACTAAACTCAATCTTCTGGCTTTGTCTGGCATAAACTTAATTTTCTTCACAGTGCCTACTATGGGGCTGTGCTTTGGATTTGTGCTGGAAGCAGTGTTGATAACCATGGGGGGTTTGTTATTGCTGCCCAGGACTCACACACAGCCAAGGCCTCTCCTGCTCCTCACCCCAGCCCAGCAGCGAGGAGGCTGGGGGTGCACAAGGAGCTGGGAGGGGACACAGCTGGGGCAGCTGACCCCAAATGACCCAAGGATATCCCATACCATATATACGGCATCAGGCTCAGTATATAAAGCTGGGGGAAGGAGGAGGAAGGGGGGTTGGTCAGAGTGGTGGCATTTGTCTTCCCAAGTCACTGTGAGGTGTGATGGAGCCTGGCTGTCCTGGGCATGGCTGAACACCTGCCTGAGGAAGTGCTGAATTTATTCCTTGCTCTGCTTTGCTTGTTTGGAACTTTTGCTTTATCCATTAAACTCTCTTTATCTCAACCCATGACTTTTCTTTCTTCTACTCCTCTGCTTCTCTCTCCAAACCTATTGGAGGGGTGAGCAAGTTGGCTGCGTGGGGCTGAGCTGTCAGCTGGGGTTTAGCCACGACACCGGGTCATTAAGGAGTAAAGCTCCTGCATGATGTTAAGAACAAGGCAGGTCTAGAAAAAAACACTGAGCAATTTAACAAACTGTGTTTTCCACAGACATGCAGCATCTCCAGTGTTACCAAGTGTCCTCAGTACTGCAGTTTAGGACTACAGGCACCTGAAAACAAAGTGTTATTAAGTGCTTGATAAGTTAAAAACAAATCTGAAGACATAGCAGCATATAATTTTAGGTCTGATTTGATTCACATTATCCTTCTCAATTAGAAGTCACATACACAGCTATCCTCTGTCAAGAACTACTGCCACCATTTTCAAAGATCAGTAAGTGCATTTTAGCATAAAAGAATGGATGGGAAAAGCAAGACCTGTTCAACAGAGGTTAGGAGTCCATTATTCCTCATGTGTTTAGGAATAATTTGTAAGCAGGTGACATACAGCTGGAACAATAGTAATAATAATAACATGCACATATTAAAAGAATTCCCTTAAAGGAGTAACTTTGGTATATAAAAGATGCCAAAAACCGCCAAAGAAACATTCAATAAACCTCACATCTTGATTTCCAATAAATGGTTTACATTCATAACTTGCTAACTCAAAGACCAAATATTTTTGCATGTACTACCAGTTTTTCAAATAGCTCAAAAAATACATCACTAGTATCTGACCTGTATATCAGCTACCTACGGTTTGAAAAAGCTAACAGTTTAGATAAACATTCTTAAGCCAGAAAAAAAAAATATGGCTATGTACATTCCACACAATTAACACTTTATTTATTTTTAAAATCTTGCTTTGCATGAGTAATATGACCCTGAAAAAAGTTCTAAGCCTCCAGAAATACCACTTTTAAGAACAATTGCACTATTGTATCCTCACTTTTCACAATCTGTAACAGAAGTGAGAATTTCCTAGCATCATTCTATATGCATCTTAAATTTTTAAGTTTGACCTTTTTTCAGTCATAAATAAGTAAGAAAGTAAAATGGGCAATATTTGTTACACCCACCTGCAAACCAGTATTACTATTTGGCACACTAGAACATTTTAAATACCTATACATTCTTTTCTTTTGTCTACACAGTATGTAATGGTACCATATTATTATTATTCAGATCTTGTATTCAACCAGTGTATGTAAGAGATTTAGCACTTGAACAGCACCTAAAAAACAAACTGAGAGTGGGGTAAGTTTTAAGGTCAACATTAAAACAGTAGTATTATCATTAGTTATTTTGGAAATAACTATACCAATAGGATAAAAAAAAACCAAACAGAATAATATGATTGCTGCCGTGAGGCTTTGTATTATGAATTTCCATTTTGTTAGTGAAGAAACACTGATGTAGAATTTTATAAGCATAAACAAAGTAATGTGAGATTTTAAAAATAGTTGGGGTTTTCATTTTAAAAAACAACAACCAACAGTAAGCACACAAATATAACAGTGAAAGGTTTAAGCTTGCCCCTCACATATTCAAAGATATTAAAGACATAGGAAACTTCTGGTTGGGTCAGGGTCCATCCAGTAGAGAATGCGGCTCCTCATGGGTCCTAAGGAAGAGCAAAAGCACAGGACAGACCCACAGTGATCCCTGTGAGTGCATCCTGCTGGCTGCCAGCAGCCAGGAATCTCTGATCCAAGGCAGCACCCCTGTGCTCTGCAATCCACAGTGAGTTCTTCTTGCACAGATTAAAAACTCTGTGTCAGGAACTGACCAACAGAAAAGTGCTTAAAACACCAGCTACACTTCTCCATACACCACAGTCACACACACTTCTCAAAGCAGGAAAAGAATGAGCAACTTCTACAAACAGAGACTACACCACCAACATTCAAAGGAATTTGCTTTCCATCCAAGCCCATCAGCATAACTGAGAACAGTACACTGGGCCCAGGGAAAACCTAGGATTGAATCTTCAGTCTTCCATCATCTATTCTGGGGTTTTATTCAGTACAGAACACCACATGGCAGCACCCAAGATTATTGAATGTCTGGGTGTCCAGAGCTACTTTGCTTCCTTTCCAAAGGCTCAGAGAGCCTGGCTGCTCAGACCTATCTAATACAGGTTTCACACATTCACTGTCAATTCAGCGCTGGAAACACATTTACTTTATACTGGCTAGCTCCATGGACTTGAGTAATAAACTCTATTTCTGCCAATAACAACACCTCAAAATTTAAGAGCAATTGTATGCAGTTAACTGCAATTGTATGCAGTTTTGAGGACAACAAATAAAGCCTGATTAAAAAAAAAAAATAACAACAACCACCAGTGAATCAGCTGACAATCCTCATATCTTTTTAGGTGAGTCAGATCTATGCAGCCCTGGAAGAATAATATAACCAGTTGAATTACACGTAGTAGTCTACCAGCCCTATAATTTCAGTAGAGGAATAATCCTACTTTAAATTCAAAGGGAATATGTTCATTTTCCTAATCCAAACACTGGAAATTTTGCTATTAACAAATACAGCTTATTCTAAAAGAGGTTCAAGTAATTATCTTCACTTCTCTGGTTAAAAATTCCCTAGACTGACCAGTCATTTTTAAAGATGAGAAATGTTTGAATAACAGTTACCTTTTAGACACACTGTACATTAGATTATACAGGACTCACTGCCAATCTGCCATGTTGTAAAAGGACTATGAAGATACTGAAAATGAATGTTAACCAATATATGGAAATAAATGTGACATTTCACCACTAAAAAAATGAACATCAGTAAGCTTTAAGCTTTAATTAAACTGTAGCTACTTCAGTGGTTCATTTCCTTTCTGCTGAAGAACCTTTAACTCATTGTGCTCATATGGACAAATACGATTTCTCCCTCTGCTTACATTATTCAAAAGCCACAGGTAAAGTCAGCTCCTGCAATCCACCCTGACGAGCAGCAGTGTTCTTTCTTCTCAGAGGGGCTTCAGAAAATACTGAATTTTAAAAAGTGCACGTTGAGGTTTCACCTGCTTTTTTACTCTTTTTGGCATTTTATCACAGAAAGGCAATCTAACTTTCAGAATACAAGGAACATTCTTCTTTCAGTGGTTACAGCTACGGTCAGAAAAACAATGCAAGTTCGTCAGATGTGCTCTGCCTGTTACAAGTGGTAGCAGAGATTTGCTCTGCCTACTGCAAAACCAATGAACATATATTACTCTACTGCCAATATCCAGGGTACAGAAATGACAAAAAAAACTTCAAAGACATAAGGCCAGATGTCTTTAAAGACAAGTTTGGCTTAACAGAGGTCAGGGCTACAAACCCTCTAATCCTGCACACTCCTCAAGCCTCCTCCATTAACTTTGCTCCTATTCTGACTGGAATTTTAAACTGCACTGTTGTCAGGGAATAGCTTCATTGTTATTGCCAGCCTGTGCTTCAGTTCATGCTCCAAAGGGAGCACAACCAGCTGCCTCAATGGAGCTGCCACTGTAGGAGCCTGGTGTAGGTACAGGAATGCCACATGCATCCTCCCGCTCCTGCTGTGCCCTGCTCTGCTCACCGAAGTCCACAGATCTGTCTGACACACCCACACTGAGGAACCAACACTGAGATATGTAACAAACTGCTCTGACACTCCTTTACTGCCACAGTTTGGAATCAACTCTAAGTTTTGAGCACAGCCACCTCAGAAAAACGAATCCAGTTTTTCCCCAACCACTGTGCACACTTAATTTAAAAGAAAACAAATTTCATACTGCCCCACCCAATTCTTTAAAACACAGAGAGTATGTACACTGCATAATAATTTCTAGTCAATGATACAGAAGGATTTCAGTGTATTTAAAATGGTATGATCCTCTGATTCTGCACCACTTGATGTGCACCTTCTTGATTCTGTGCCACCAAAATCCATAGGGACCCTGCTATCACTTAGAATGGTCTAGAAACAAGAACCAGGAAAGCAAAGAGCTCTGAAAAAGGGTAGAATTAAGGAGTACTGCAAAATCCCAAGTTTGCTGACTTTTGAAAAATCCCTGTGCTGCAGCCTCAAATGCATATATAGTATAGGCAGTGTTTTAACACAAGAAGTTCAGTGTGACAGGCCCCTAAGTGACATTTCTGTGCATAGAGCAGATGATGTGATCTGTGTATTTCCTAAGCAGATTGCAGCAGTTTGACAGAAATGGTTCAAATACCTTCCTTTCAAAGGCACAGAGATAGCACTACTATATAATTATGCTTTGGTAGAAGTAATGCTAATGTTTTACACACAAAATAAAAGTCAACATAAGCACCTGGCTCAGATATTAATTAAAACATTCAAAGCCATAATTTGCTGCTCAACCTTTCCAAAAACTCAGCAAGAACCCTTACTGCTTTTTTTTCAGAGTCTCAACAATCTCTATTGTTTTCAAAGTTGTCAGCACCAGTAGGACACCAAAAATTTTCATACCTAATAGATATTTATCTTCTCTGCCAGTTCTGATTTAATTATGTGGATAAACATAATTAAATACAGTACTTATCTTTGCCTTATGGATATTTTAGGATAATACAGTTTAAAAATTAATTACCTGTAATCCTACAAAATAATCAGCTCTGTATATGATGTTACTCCATGAGCTAAAATGCTTAGTTGGCTAAAAAGTTACAGAAATTTACAGAGAAATTCACTGGGATGTGGTTACATTCTGCAGTAAGATGTGCTATATTCTTACAACAGGCACACAACTGGAATACAAAATGCAGCTGTTTTTAACAGAAGGCTTCTGAATCTATTTTCATGCCTTAACTGTTGGTGCTGGAGACTGGAGAAAGACTCCAGGGAAAACACTCTTCCTTTGGTGGGGAGCAGAAGAATTGGTATCAAATATCATTCCATCTTCTTCATAGGTTTCTTTGAACCTTCTCACAGAGTATGGATTGCAGCCTGATGAGTTAAAAAACACCTGATAAGAAAAAAAAAACCCTACACAGCCTTAGATACTTTTAAAAGTAATTGAATTACTCTATATGAACAGCACACTTATTTGCATCTCATTGTTATTTTCATTCAATGTATTTTTCATTCAAGAATATTACTAAAGGATCATTTTGCACTCAGTTCTTGCCAGTATTTGAGTTCCTTCAATTCAAAGACTGCCAGATATGGAATTTTGTATTACTTCTTGCTTGAATTTTTGCTCTGAGAGATGTTATCTCAGTAAGAACACTTTGCCAACTTTGCCTCCCAGACAACTGAAGCCACATTTTTAATGCTCCCTTTCCTTTACAGAATAAATACAAGTCTTACAGTATATCAGAACTTTTCCAAAATTGAATATGAAAGATTTCTATTTTTAATGCTTGCATTGAAAACTGTAGTTATTGAACAAACAAGCATTTTACAAATTTGTTTTCAACCCCAGAACTATGCTCACAGTAAAAAATAAAAATTAAATGGGCTGAGCAATACACTGACTCCATTGATTTTCATTTTCCATGTTTGAAAACATGAGGATAATAAAGCAGAAAATGCAGATTATGAGAAGAATATTAGCTTTTAAATATCTTTTTGGCTTTAGATAGCAAGTGGAATGCTGGGGAAAATATCTGCAATAGTCACATACTGGGAATAAGGTATTTTAATGTAAACTTCAGGGACTTTTCAAGCTGCAGTACCTATAAAGTACTTTTTCCTCCCTCTGACTTCAGTTTTGCCCCTCAGTTCATGTTGTTATTCTTAACCCAGTGTTTTATAATACCATAATTACTCAGAAAACCCCAACAAACCAAACATGTTGATTTGTCAATTTTAATTCTCAGATTTCAATATGAATATCACTAATGTACCTAAAAATAAGACTTCTAGACAAAAATACTAGGAAGCTTTCAAGGGACATGAGGATGTGGTCTAGATATTTATAAAGGCTAACTTCAGAAATAGCTCCCCTCTGAACCACCCCTGACAGAGCTCAGGAGATGCCTCACCTCTAAGGGGTGAGAGGAGATCAATCTGGATAAACCAAGTGAAAACTATTCTTGCATCAGACTATCACCATGACATCCAGGGAAGGCAATAAACTGCTGAAAATTGGACACAGGAAAAAAATCCCAAACCTTTCAAATTATCTCTAGAGATTTCTAGGAACAAAAGTTGCAGTTGGTATATAAATCTGAATTCCTAGAAAATAACAGGGCTTATGGATTAAGAACAATTTTTAACACCCAGATAAAATACCTGAAGAGTGAACATAAAGATCCTTTAAATACAGAGCTCAATTTCTTCAAAGTAACAGATCAGTCTTCTAAAAACCTCAGCTAAGAAAAAAATAATTGAATGTTCTTTATACTTGAGCCAAAGCCCACATCTCCAATGGTAACCAACACTGAAGCATTATGGAAAGAAGTATAAAGTGATTCATCCTGTAAAAAAGAAATTTACAATATGAAAAACTGATAGTCATTTCTATTAGGTTAAGAATTATCTGAGTATTGCATCATAGCATAACAAGAAAATGTAATAAGCCTACTTAAGCAGAAACATGGATGCTAATTAGAAACAGAATCTCCCAAAAATAAACTCTAACTTGAGTATTTCAGGCATCATCTAACCAGAAGGAGAATGTGAAGCACTCTAAAATGATACTAAAAAAAAAAAGATTAAAAGTTAAGAAAACTACCATGAAATGAAAAACTACATTTAGTTATTTCACGGATATACCAGGCTGACGAGAGGAAAATGCAGTTTATGCTCAACATAACAAACAGAAACACTTTTTTTAAGCATTTATGAGTTCTCAGGACTCTGATTTTCACTTCAGAAGAGAAGCAATTACAACCACCATTTATTACTTGCCTTATTTTTCTTAGCAAAGTGTGAAAAGGTCTGAAGAGTTCAGACATATCTTCTGGTTTATGGTCCAAGTTTAATGGTCCCTCAGAGTAGACAACAAGGCCACTGTAATTCAAACACATGCATGAACACACAAAAATGAAAATTTTATTACACAGAGCAACCACTGAATAGTCAGAAAAGCAACTGTACATAAACATTAGAACGACATTTAACTACATCTCATTATCTTGTTTTTGTCTTATTCACCCACAGCTAGAATTAGATGCTATTTAAAGTAACAGGAAAAAGATCCCCTCCACTCTGTTGCCCTTTCTCAAACATGGTAGAAAAAAGCAATTAAAGCATAAAGGGAAGAACACACATTTATTTCATTGCTGCAGCTGAATTAAAAAAAAACCAAAAAAACCCAAAAAGCACAACCCCACAAATGAAATCTATTATCAAGTACATTGGGGGAGGTCCACTGATTTGAGATATTGCAGATAGCTTTTCCTTTCCAGTCTGTAATTTCCAGGTAAGGTCTCCTGCACTCCTAATTTTCTACCTCCAAGATAAATATAACGTGGTATTGACATATGGTAAAAAAAGGAAACATTTTCTTAATCACATAAAACATATTTTGAAGAAACTATGCTTTTAAATCAACTCAGCACTTGTACAAATTTCCCTGGAAAGAGGTAAATCCACAATCCTGAGAGCCTCCAGGTACTTCACTGTCGATAACTCAAAAGTTCCTCCTGACCAAGTCCCCACTGCCCAAACCAGTCTGTGGCATGGATTTAACAAAATTCCCCTTCAGATCTGCTGTGCCACACCAACACTGGGTCTGAGAGTGGATTCCCACCAGCACCACTCTGCTTAGAACTATTTAATCCTCTGCCCACTGCAAAACCAATGTATATTTCCCAAAGGCAACCTGTTCTCACAGCTGAGATTACACCACTGTTCTTTTTCCAAGGGTGTTTTCCCCTTCCTGTCCATAGTGCCAGTGCTCTGTTACCCAAGATATTTCAAAGGCAGGTTCATTTTCTTAAACTCAAATGACACACTGCTCCAGAGATCTATCCAGCATCCAAATCACCCAGAGTGAGAGACCCTTGCCCAACTCGACTCCCAGAGTCCTTTGGCCACCAGCTCCTCCCTAGCAAGCACCTGTGTGACCACCAAAGACTCTGAGACACAGCAGCACAACTGATGTCACAAGCTATATGGATTCATCTGAAGTATGATAAAAAAAGACCAGGGGATTGGGGTTTTGAGGGCAGGAGCAGGGAAGAAGAAATGAGAGAAAAAGTTGCTTCCTTTGCAAGTTGCTTTTTTTTTTTTTTTTGTGGCTTAAGACAAATTATCTTTTTGCCAGGGATACATAATTTTATCTCTTTCTCTATGCTTGCCAAGCTTCAACAAGCAGGCTGCCACAAAGTGAAGCAGTTATTGCTGACTCATGTCTCATGTTCTGCTTAAGCAAATGTTACTACTTTGCTCAGTGAAAGCCCAAGGCTACTCTCCTCAAAACTCTACTTGATGCAACTCACTGTTCCTTTGGCTTTCAGGCAGTTTGCTTGCCACAGAATTTAACCATTGGAAATTAAAAAAAATTAAATTAAATTTAAAAATTTAAATTTATAATATTTGAAAAATTTGAAATATTTTTTTAATTAAAAAAAGTGGGCTAGAACACTACAGAAAAAAAATATTATGAAATGGCTTCTCTGTATATGCGTAACATTTGAAAGAGCTCTGAGGAACTTCACAACAGTGATTTATTTTCTTATGACTGGATAATTAGGAGCACTCAAACCTTCTTCTCTAGCCTTTCTAATTTGGGGTGGACATGATCTATTTGCCAGAAAGCCCTGGTTTTCCAGTTAGTCATGATGTGTTCTCCTTCACTGTGTCTTCCAGCAGCTTCAAACTGAGTTCTCACATTCCTGTTGTCTTCCAATAATCAGATTATTACTGTTATTATTTTTAGAATGACAGTTAGAGACAATATACTATTTAACAGGAACAACAGGCCACAGGGATTTCCTGAGGAGAAGTGTATTACACTCAGGATTTGAGGGTTTTTATTTCCCTCAATTATCCTACTTATATTAGCTAACTGTAAAATGTTCACAATGGTAAAATATTAAAAATATGCTGGCTTTGGTCCAGAGAAGCTGCTGCCCTAGTAAACCATGAAGACTCATTAGGAAGAAGGCATCTGTGATTTGTTCAATACTGCAAAAACTGCATGAAGCAAAACCACTGTCAATTTAGTTGCCTTAAGTGGTCAATGCAGGGCACAAATCTACACAAAAGTTACCCATATTTGCACTTTCCTTTGAGAGAATTAAGCCTAACTCAACAGCTACAATGCAGTTTGCCATGATAATTCCTTCTGAACCTAGAGTCACTGAGAAAAACACACAAATTTAACTGAAAATCTGCAGTTTTCAAGACCTGTATCCTTATGTCAGCCCATTTTTGAGTTTTACAAAATATGTGCTTTAAAAAATATTTCTGACAACATGACATTACAAAGACTGATGTTCCTAATTTTTAAACTTTGCTGGAGGATGCCTGATCAATTCTTCCTGCCTGCTTTATTTAGAGATCCACCATCTTTCTTCTTTTTATCTTGATATTCTACATTAAACTGGTAATGATTTAGAACAAAACAATCCTCCTTTTTAATTTTTTTAAAAAATGTTAAAGCAAACTCAGGTGAAAGACAGTCCATCAAAATTCTAAACACGGCTTTTCAAATCTTCAATAAACCTTTAAATGAGGCAGAGCAGCGAGTAGTTAAAAATTACTTACCATACAATGGCTAATCTTGGAATTGTAAACATTAAAGCTGGTTCATAGTCATCTATCATATCTTGAGTGAGGTATCCAAGCCTTAAGGCTCTAAGCAGAAGAATAAAATTATTTAGTAAGACATCAAAGTCTTGAAGAAGATATTTCACTAAGGAAAAATTTGAAAAAATTGTTATAAGCCAAACCAGACTGATAGTATTTAACTCATGGACTGGTTTTGTATATTCTAAACCACTATATATATAAGTGATTGCTTAAGTCTCTGCTTTAAAAAAAGTAGCATAATAAAAACAAAAATGCAAGAAAAAATTCCTTTAAGCACTTAAAGCTTTTATAGTCATTCAAAACCCAATTCAGTTTTATGAAATTTTCTTTATTTACTATTTCATGTCAAGCTTCAGCTTGATACTGAAAACCACTGGTGCTGACAATTTTTCAAATAAAAGAAACATTTTTTAAAGTAATAGCAGAAGGTACTTGGTTTCATTTTCAAATACAAATTGCTCTAATTATCAAGTTCAATCTCCCCCTTAACTAACAAAAACCTAAAAAAAACCACCCAAGAACAGCCCAGTTCTACACAATAACTCTTCCTGAAGTCTAAGGATTTAATATTTGGGGGAGACTTCATTGTCCTCAAATAAATTCTCAAATGTCTTAAGGCCCTTTTAAACTAAACCCCATTTTTCTTGGATATTTTACTTTGCTGCATTTTCCAGATTTCTTCACAATTTTCAGATTTTACTATTATGTTTCATAACATCCTCAAATTTCTTCTCTGACTTGTTCATAGTAGTGTTTTAGATTGCAATGAAAACTGCACGTGAGTCCTGCTTGTGGTCCCAAAAGAATGGAAATAACTTTTTCTTATTCCTTGTCAGCACTTATCCAGTCAATACTGCTGGTGGTGGACGGGACATGACCACAAAGCAAACCCTGGTTGGTGCCACGAGTGGATGGACACACTGGTGTGTGGTCCATCCTCACTCCCTGCTCCTTCCTACAGCCCAGACAGATTTTCCAAAGCTACAAGTCAGAAGCCATCTTTTTCCTCTTACTGGGCACATACAGAATCCCAGAATTGTCAGGGCTGGAATGGACCTCTGGAGATCACCCAGTCCAACCCCCCTGCCAGGCAGGGTCGTTCTAGAGCAGGTGACACAGGAACACATCCAGGTGGGTTTGGAATGTCTCCAGAAAGGGAGACTCCACGGGCAACTGTTCTGCAACTCAAAGTAGAGAAATTTTTCCCCATGCTGGTATGAACTTCTCTTGTTGTAATTTATGGCTGTTACTCCTTGTCCTGTTACTCCATGGTGCCCTCCTTGGGCACCATGGAAGAGGGTCTGGCACCTTGACACAGACCTTAGAGATATTTGTGTGCATTGATCAGATCCCCTCAGTCTTGTCTCCTCTAAACAGACCCAGCTCCTCCAGTCTCTCCTCCTAAGAGAGATGCTCCAGACCCTTCTTCATCTTTCTGACCTCCACTGGACATGTGCATGCCATAGGTGAGTAGGTGTATGTGTGGCAGAGCTCTCTGACTGATGCAAGGTAATGCCTCCTACTTGTTGAGAACTTTTTGGAGTTGCAATCCTGTCTCCCAAAATGCCTGAAACACCTCTGCTCCTGGTGTCACATGCAGATTGTGGCAGTGTGCTCTGTACTCCTCCATTCCTCAGTGAAAGGATGGACTTCACCAGACCCAGGGTCCTACTTCACAAGTTCTCCTAACGTGACAGTGAAACCAACACTTATTCTAAGGGCTTTTTACAGTCAACTGGTATCTAATAATTCTACACAGAACATGATTCACTAATTTTTTTTTTAAGAACAGTGCTGCACTGCTCAAAGCCTCACTTAGGCTGAGTATTCCACATGCTGCTCCCCTCTACTGCCCATGTGCAGGCCAGTTAATCTGTCACAAGGGGGAAGAAAAAAAAATTGTTCAACACAGTACATTACAAATTCACACTTTTCTTTGCACCTTATACTTCTAGAAGACCTTATGGATTGCTGAATTGATTTCTTTCATCATCATCCCTTCATACATATAAAGCCAAAGACCAGTCCTTTGAGATTTTAAAGAGCTTTTATGAGTTCTTTATGAAAATCACTGGAGGTTTACATATTATTTGAATCATCTCCCCATGTATTCTTGCATGAAATATCATTAAG